ACCTCCATCTCTAACCTTGTCCCCTGCACTCACTCCACTTCCTCGGCCCTGTGCCTTTGCCATTCCTCCTGCACGCCAAGCAGGTGCTGACCCCGGGGCCTTTGCACGTGCGGTTCCCTCAGCTGGGAATGTGCACAGCTCCCTTCTTCCCTCCTCCAGTCCGCTGCTCAAATGTCATCTTAACCATGATGCCTTCCCTTAAAGCCGCACTTACAATAGGTGATGGATAAAGAAAATCCCCCGGGTCAGCATTTCCTATGCCCCTTGTCCTGCTTTGTTCTTCTCCGTAGCTCTTAGCATCTACTGACTTGTTATTCATTCGTTTGTTTGTTATCTGTGTCCCCCTCTAGACTTGCAAGGTCAAGGACTCTTCCTGTTTCCACTGTGCCCAGAACAGCACAGAGGAGAAACTCACAAATATCTGTGGAATGAGTGAATGGGCACCAGGCGCGCGCGCGCACGCACACACACACACACACACACACACACACACACACACACAGGCTGTTATCTGTGATTGCAGGCACACGCCAGGATGCACATAGGAACCACATGCAGATGCATGGACCTGAGGGCACATGGATTATAGGAGGTGAGGCTGCAGTGTGGGCAGGGCAAAACCAACATTGACTGGTTTGGGCTGCGACTTGGTCTGTAATCCCATTTGGGATTAAACAGCCAGGTGGTCCGTGGAGACCTGTGGCCCAGAGAAGGCCACCAACATGCCCAGACCTCATGGCAATGCCCAGCAGAGCCAAAAGCAGCCGCGTCCCCTGAACCACCCTGAACTGAACCTCAGGCCTGGGTCCTGTCATTGACACCCACTCGGGAAAAGCACCTGGAGCAGGAAAGGGAGGAAGGGAGGAGAGAGGAGGCCGAAGCGTCTGTGGCAGAGTGGTGCAGAGCGGTGAGGAGTTGGCAAAGGGCCAGGAAGCCCGGCCAGCATGCCCGGGGGAGGACCTGGTGGGCTGCGGCAGGAGAGCCTGCGTGGGAGGAGACATGGGGGCTGTGAGGGCCCCGCCCTCAGGCCGTAGTGCAGGATGTACCCTGTGCTGGGGCGCCTGGCCAAGGGGACAGGGGGCTGAGACGCAGCCCCTTTATCCTGCCAAGCGTGTCCCCTGGCAGCACCAGGCTGCGTTCCCTCTGGAGGGCATCTTTCCCCATTCCCCAAGGATCCCTGCGCCATGGGGAATCCCAGTCCCGGGTTCGAAGTTCTGCTCCATCACCACGTGTGCCGTGCAACCTTGGACAGCACTCTTGGACTCTGCCCCTTTCTAAAGTGGGATTTGGCAACAAGCCTTTGTCCCAGGCAGCCTTTCCCTAGAGAGCTCCCTCTTCCCTCCCCCCCCCCCCACCAGCACCCCAAATTCCCTGTGTCCGAATCCTTTCTGTGCTTCCACATCATGAAATCCCCGTTTGGCTATGTACCATTTCAGTCTCCCGTGGCTTTGACTGTAAAACATTGCTCCAAGGGCTTCTCTAAACACAAGAAAATGGAAGCTGCCTTCCCTCCTCCAGGTCCCGCCCCAGACCCCTCGCTCCTGCCTCAGCCGCTCCCGTGCTCTCTACCAGCTCCAGGGGACTCCTGGCTGTTCCTCAGCTGGCTCCAGCCTCTGGATCTTTACCCAGCCGTTCCCTCTGTGCATGGAACTATTTTGTGCTCAGCTCCTCCTCCTCCTTTCGGATCTGCTAAATGTCACCTCCTCTGAGAGGCCCTCCCTGATGTCCTGTAACATCATCACACCCACCCCAGCCCTTTCTTCCCTCTTCTTCCTTTTCCCTGCTTTACGCTCCTTCTTAACACTTATTACTCCCTGAAATTATGTTGTTAGATTTCTTCCCTTCGTTACCGAAAAATCAGCTCCACGAGGGCTAGGACTTTATGGTGTTTATTGCTTTGTCCCCAGTGCCCAGGGAAGTGGCTGGCATCAGGGAGCTGCTGGTACATATTTGTAGAAAGAGTAAACGAACAACAGAAGAAATGCATCTCTCTCCTGATACAAAGCTGATTGCATCTTGCTGTCTTTCACAGAGAAATTATTCTTAAAGTTGAATAAATGAGTGAAATGCATTTCTGTCTCCCCAATGGTAGAATATGATAATGTTTGATGAATGAATGAATGATTGAATCTAAGTGTGGTGTGCACCCCCTCCCCCTTGTAAAAGGTGCCACAAAGAAAAAAGAAGGAAGAGAGGGAAGAAGAGAGAACAACAATGGGTGCCTGCAAACACCTCCTGGCCCCCCCCCTTGGTGCCCCCACCCCCACAGTCCCCTTCCCATCAGCCCCTCCCCTCTGCATCCCTGCAGGCTGTGATGAGGCCTGGAACTGCCTGACAGAGTCAGGGGAACAGTTCCCGCTGCACGCAGGGAAGTCATAAGCTCCAGGAAATGAAGGCTCCAGAGCAGTGCCTCCTCCTCACCCATAACTCCAGCCTCATTATGACCGTTCCAGGCCATAATGTGGAGAATCAGAGCCGGATCCCGGGAGGCCCCAGCACAGCTCCAGGACTCTGACAGGGGCCACCAAGGTGGGGGAGGGTCTGTCAACACGCCTTGGTTCTGTCATTTCGCCAGGCCCCTCAGCGTTGGCAAGAGGAGCGGGGAGGGGAGAGACAGGGGTGATGGAGACTCTCACAACAGGGTCGCAGGTGATCCTGACCTCCATCAGTTCAGGGGCCTGAAGGGAAGGGGGGAATAGGCTGCTCAGGACTCCTCCCCTCATCCCCACGGACTGGGCTGTTGGTGTTTCCTCACTGTCATTGCCCTGAAAGGCAGGTTTAACCCCTTGACTTCCAACAGATGACTCCCTACCTCAAAGCCCCTTCCAAAAAGAAGTTCTGGAGCCACTACTGGGAAAGAGCACTGAGTAGTCACACATCCACAAAATGGGTACAAGACACTAACTTTCAGCTCTGACTCACATGTGTTAGTGAGTTAAAATAGTCAAGAGAGCCGAAACCAGTTTGGCTCAGTGGATAGAGCATAGGCCTGTGGACTAAAGGGTCCCAGATTCGATTCCGATCAAGGGCATGTACCTTGGGTGTGGGCACATCCCCAGTAGGGGGTGTGCAAGAGGCAGCTGATCGATGATTCTCTCTCATCGATGTTTCTAACTCTCTATGCCTCTCTCTTCCTCTCTATAAAAAAATCAATAAAATATATTAGAAAATAAATAAAAATAAAATAAAATAAAATAGTCCAGAGAATTGCCCACTGTGGCATCCAGTCCAAGGAGATGCCCTAAGTTTCTTCTGCCACCCCTACCCCCAAATTCCAGCACTTCCTTTGTCCACAGGAGGGTCTTGCTGGGCCCAAATCGGTTCCTCCCACGTCCCCTGCCCAGCCGCACACCTCATAGGCCCCATGGAACTCCTCAATCCGGCCAAACTGCCGCACGCTCCCTTTGCTGGATGCCCATGCCTTTCTTGCCACCCACTCGGGTGCCCCTTTCTCAAGAGGCAGCCCTGATTCCCTTCCAGACACCTGTGCCCACTCTCTTCCCTGAGCCCTGTACATCTCAGGTGGCACACCTTTGATAGCCCTGATCACTTGCCACCTGGCGTTTAGGTTGTTATTGGGGGGTCTTGTCTCCCACCCCACTAAACCGAGCTTTCTTATCTCTGTCTTAGCATCCTGCCCAAATCGGCCTCAGTGTCAAAACTCAGAGGAACTGAGCTGTTGAACTGAGCTGAACTGGCGTGGGGAGAGGAGGAGGAGGATTGAGCCCCTCGCCTCCACTCTTCCCGGTGCCTGAAATTCCTCCGTGAAAGCAGCGTGGCTGTCCCCTGTAAACACCCACACGGAGCTATTATTCATCATTATTGCTTGAGTAGGAGTTAGTCCCTCAGATCCTCGCTTGCCTTGCCGAGAGCAGATCTGACGGAGGGAGGGGAGGAGAGAGATGGATTGATCTGGGGCCTGCGCGCTGGTCCGGGAGAGAGGGGAGGAGTGGTGGCGGAGGCTCTGGGAAAAGGTTTCTGGGAGAATGTGGAGACACCAAAGGCGAGTTCAGAGGGGCTGTGATCCCCAAAGTCGCATGAGGGGCCTCGGGTGCCTCGCCCCTGAAGGGGTGTTCGGAGGGACTCCCATGAGATCCCAGGCGGGGCTCCGTTCCGGAAGGAGTGACCTCTCTGTGCTGCCTGCCTGCCGGTGAGAGGGCACAGAGGTGGGCGGCCGGCTGAGAGCCGGACTCTGTGCCCCAGGAGTGTGGTCTGGGAGCCCCTGAGGACCCACCCCTGCTAGAAGGGCCTGCTCCTTCTGGGGGGTGAGGGTCTTAGCGGGTGAGGCTTGGCCAGAGGCAGGGCAGCAGCTCATAAGGTCCCTGCTCCTGTGGGCACGGGGCTGGTGCGGGACCCCTGAGAAGGAGCCAGCCAGGGGGCAGGAGAAAGGGATCGGGGTGGAAGCTGGGAGGGAGAGGGGGAGGGGAGGGAAGAGGTGTGTGATGGGAGCTGAAAGGAAGGGCTGGGGCTGGGGTCGGGGAGGAGGCAGGACTGCCTCACCATGGTCCCAAGAAGGCAGGGCCCCTATGGGTCTCTGTTGTACAGCGTTTGTCCCCCCTGCACAGTGCCAGGCACACAGTAGGTGTGCAATCAGTACCTGTGGACAAAAGGTGGGCTCAGCCTGCCCCGCCCTCACACAGAGCCTCCTCTGATGGTCTCCTTTCTCTTCCAGGCTCTCGGACGGGCCGGCCTCTAGGCCTCTGAGGACCCTCGGATCTGCGGGCCCCGGCCAGCACCCTCAGCGCAAGGAGCATGGCGCACACCGGCCTTGGGATCTGCGGAGGCGCTGCCTGGTGACCCCGCCTCGGAGGCTCCAGGGGGGCGCGGGCGGGACCCTGGGGACGGTCCATGCCCAGGGTGCGGCCGCGCCCCCACCCCCTCCAGCCGGGCACCTCGGAGGCCTGGGTGAGGCCACCATGTGATGTGGCCCCGCTTGGGGGTGCCACCCGAGCTGCGCGCCTCCGGTCGTTCGTGCTCCCAGGCCCCCGCGCAGGCCAAGCATGAGGCTGCGCCCTGATGGCCGGGCGCTGGGAGCTGCGCTGCCTCCGGTGCTGCTGCTGCTGCTGCTGCTGCCCCCGCCGCCGCCACTGCCGGGGCGCCTGTGGGCGGCAGGCACCCCCGCACCGGCCGCGCCCGGGGCCCCGCAGGAAGGCGCGCTGGGCACCGGCCGTGTGAAGCGGGGCTGGGTGTGGAACCAGTTCTTCGTGGTGGAGGAGTACACGGGCACCGAGCCCCTCTACGTGGGCAAGGTAAAGGGGGGCCCTGCCCAGGACCCTGAGACACCCCAGTTCCCCTACCCCCTAAATGCCTGGTCTCAACTGCCTTGGCCTGGTGCGGCGGGGAGGGGGGTGTTTGGGGGGATGGAGGGGAGTACGTGGGAAGGGGGAGTAGAAGCGGGGAGGAGGCAGACACCAGGGTCCCGCACTCTCCCCCCCCCCCATTCTCTAGTCCCTCCTGGAGACTTGCAGCACAGAGGGCTAGTAGGGGAGCCCCGTCCATCCTGGAGCTAGATGTATCTAGAATGGAGAAACACATTTGCCAATCATCTGAACATCCCACACATGCTCTCCCCACTCTGCTTAAAATTCTTCCAGAGATTCCCATGCCCTTGGGGGCAAATCCAGATTCCATCCCACTGCCTGCCAAGATTGGCTCCCCTCTCTGAAATTCAGCCCAGGCCTTGGTGCCCCAAATACTCCTGAGGCACCTACCCCACCACCACCACTTCCTAGGATGCTCCCCTGAGCTGCACCCCCGCTGCTCCTACTGATTACTGTGTGCTCACACCCAGCTCTGCCCAGTGGCCACTTCCTCAGAGAGGCCGCCCCTCCCACACCAGGCGGGGAGAGGCCCCCGTAAGTGACCATCCCTCCCTACTCCGTGCCCTCCCACGTGAGGTGTCTTTCCTTCACAGCACTTCATTATGCATGTGCTTGTTTGGTTGTGCATTTAATGTGTGTCTCTCCTCTTGGGTTGTGTTTGTTTTGCTCCCTATTAAATCCCCAGAGATATTGCTCACAAGCCGTTGATGAATGAATGAATGAATGAATGAACGAAAGCTATTGTCTCAAACTCTGATGGTTAATGTGCCTAACGATCTGTGCCCAAGGAGTATAAGGAGGTCTTTGTTCACCCATTCAATGCCTAAGCCATCATACCTATGCTGGAGAGGCGGAGGCAAGTAAGATCTAGCCTCTGCCATTTGGGAGCTCCCCTGAGTGGCAAAGACAGCCTGGTGCACAAAATACTTCACAGGGCAGCACCCGGCACTGAGTAGGCATTCAATAATTGGCTGGATTTATAGAGGAGAAAGCACCTGAGCTGGGTTTTGATGTACAGGTAGGAGTTCATCAGCCTGCCGGGAAAGAGGCCATACCCTATGCACAGGCCTGGAGTCCCAAAGGAACCCCACTTATTAGTCCTCTAAGTTTGGAGACTTGTCAGTAGCTGAGGTGTTGAGGTGGAGAGTGCCTGTAGGGCATGAAAAGCAGAGTGGTACCCAGGGAGAGTTCTCTGGCCTCTGCCACGGCTGATCAGCTTTCCAGGAAGTTTTGGTCAGCAGAGATGGGGGGAGACCAACTCTGGAGTTTTCCGTGTGTTGAGATATGGGCCTGAGAATTGGCTGCTCAGTTCGGAGCTCAGGGATCAGGACCCTGGACAAGGACGGGAGGAAAGCCTTGATAGTAATCTTTCAATTTGCCTGGCAGGAAACCCAGATTTTCTCCCCTCTTGACAGTCATCCCTGGTCCTTGGCTGCTTTCCCCTTCCATACGTGTGGCTGAAGTTGATCTGTGCAACTCAGCAAATGAGGATTTGACAGATAGAGCTCAGAGAGGTTCATGCCCTTGCTCAAGCCAACGAGTGGCAGAACCAACGGCTCCCGACTGCTAGCCAGGGCAGTGCAATGGTGGGTCTGGTAGGATGGGGTGAAGGGATGGGGAAAGAGGAACCAGTGCCAGCTAGACAATCGCTGAGGGTGAGGAAGCCAGGAATACAGGCTTTGGAGCAGACACACCTGACGCCGAGGCCTGGCTCTGCTAACCCATGAACCACATTACCTTAATCAAGTCACTTCACCTCCCTAGACCTCAGTCTCTTCATCTGTGAGAGTGGGGCTAAGAGAGCTCAGCTTCCTAGGGTTGTTGAGAGGATTAAAGAAGAAAACTGAGCACATAAAGTGTTTTGCCTGCAGCCTGGTTGCTTGTCTATTATTTTTTATCTTTTCTATATGAAGCACTTAACTCTGGAACTGCAAGATAGAAATCATTATTCCCTTAGGTAGGCAAGGAAACCGAGGTTCAGAGAGGACAGATTCATAAGGGGGCCAAGTGGCTTGGCCAGGATTTGTGTTGTGTGTTGGAGGCCAGTCCCAGCTGGATTCTCCAGTCCTCTCCGAAACCTCCGGGCCTGGGAGAAGGGCTTCGGGAAACCCCAGAGAAAGGGGAAGAGTCTGACACATCTGCCTAAATGTCAGTGGTGGTGGTCTCAGGCACCCCCCAACCTTGTCTGCCCAGCAGCTGGGGCTCTGAGAAGGCCTCCCAGCCCAGCCAAACACATCCTGAAAAGATCAGAGAAACCGCTGACTCATGGCTGCATCCATCCAGCCGTACCAGCATCTCAGTAGCGTGGGCCAAACCCCAACCATCTCTTAGAACCAGTCCATCAGTGATGGGAGGGCCCTAGTAAGTTCCTTCATTATAAAATGGGGAAACTGAGGCCAGGGGTGGGGACTATCATGCCAAGGCCACAGCAGCACAGTGACAGAATCAAGCCATTGGCCAGACTGCCTGACACGGGCTCCTGGCCCCATGAGGTTTAACTTTTCTGTATGAACATCTATTATGATGCAGGCATGTGCCCAGCCAGGGGGTCTTTGTCTCATAGCGACCTCTCCCAGTGTCCCTGCTGCTGTCAGGACTATTTTGTCCTCTGCTTTTGTCATCTGCACCCAGAGCCCTCCTCTCTCTCTCTCTCTCTCTCTCTCTCTCTCTCTCTCTCTCTCTCTCCTTTAAATATATTTTATTGATTTTTTACAGAGAGGAAGAGAGAAGGATAGAGTTAGAAACATCAATGAGAGAGAATCATCCATCAGCTGTCTCCTGCACACCCCCCACTGGGGATGTGCCTGAAACCAAGGTACATGCCCTTGACCGGAATCGAGCCTGGGACCTCTCAGTCCTCAGGCTGACGCTCTATCCACTGAGCCAAACCGGCTTCGGCAAACCCTCCTCTCTTGCTTTCAAGGCTACCTCCAGAAAAGCACTCTGTTCAAGGAGGAAAGAGAACTTTCCATCTGTTGGCAAACCGTTGCCCAGAGCACACTTTCTTGTGGAAGGTGGTATAGTGTGTGGTTCCAGGGGGCCAACGGGAGCCAGACTGCCAGAACTCGAACCCAAGCTCTGCCTCTGGTTACCTCTGACGGTCGGCACGCTGTTTAATGTATCTGTGCCTCAGTTTCCTTATCTGTGGAGTGAGGGCCTAGTACCTCCCTAAAGGATTGTGATGAGGGCTCAGTGAGTCAGCCTATGTCAGGATCCTGGCATGGGCTCATATGCACTTTCATCATCATAGGGCTCAGCCGATATTTCCTCCACACTGAGGGGAAAAAACATCTACACAGGCACTGTGAGCCCTGCTCTAAACCCTGAAAGCCTCTTCGCCCCCGGATGGCCTTTCTGGTTTCTCACCAGCGTGGGGGCCGGTGGTCTCTAGCTCACTCCTCACTCAAGGAATATGAGCTTGGGCTTTTAAAAACCCACCTGTCCCCTTTCTAGCCGAATCCCGTGTTTGTACAAGTGGCTGTGTGCGTGCATGCACGCATGTGCGCACTCACACACTCATGCTACGCTCTCTCGCTCTTCTGGGAGAAAGGACTTCTCCACGGTTTCAGTTAATTCACTGCTTCCAGGTCCCCTGCCCCAGGGAGCCACTGGGAGCATCTGTCCTTGTCGAATTCCAAAGGTAGCTTAGCAACAGCACCATCTCCAGTGATCCCTGGCCCCAGCCGTAACCTATTTTATAACAGCCTCCTCCATCACTCACGCCAGGCTCCTGTCAGCACCCGCAGGAAGCACTGGGCTCCGAGGCTGTCACCAGAGCCCCGTGCAGGCCGCTCCCTTCGCCGTCCTGCCCCCTCGGCAGCCCAGCCCACCTCTTCCATCCCACCTTCTCACAAGGCCCACCTTAAAGCAACCTCCCCACATTTCCATACAATCTGGGTACGTGGACTAATCCCTTTTCCAAACTGTAATTTCCCCGGAGGCCTCTTGTCAGTTGCATGTGGATTTTGTAGGATTTTTAATTCTTTTTTTTTTTTTTAAAGCTAGAATTATGGGGTCAGCCCTTACCACCGGCTCCTGTGGGCGGTGAGATCTATTTTAGATATACGGCAGGATTAAAGTGGGAAGGAGAGCAGATTTAATTAAGTTGCTAATATTTAAAGAAAATTGATGAACTCCTGGTTTACGAGTAGCACGGGCGTGAACAGACCCCTTATTCTGGGAGAGGCTTTTTATTTGATTTGCTTTCCGTTTAAATCCTGGACTCGTTCTGTTTGCGTAGCTGCACTGTCCATTTAATTGTCTTTAATAAGGAAAACGTACCTCTGCTCGCATTTAATTTTGATTTAATTAGGAGGAAGTAATTAATGGCCTCATAAATCCTGTTTTTCAGCCTCCCCCGCCCCCCGGGGAGAAGCACTCACTCTTGTGTGTTTGTGTTGTTTATGATCTGAGGCTGGGACTGGGGAGAGGCAGTCTCCGCCCAGGCTATCCACACTCAGTGCAGAGGGAAGAACCCAGGATGGGGAGTGGGACAGGCCTTGGGGCTGCCTCTTGTTAGCTGTGGCCTTAGGTAGGCTATGGGCCCTCTCTGAGCCTCAGTTTGCCAATCTATGCAACGGGGAGAGAGTAATCGCTAATTCACTAGACCACTATGAGATATCAGTGAGGTCATGGTCAAGGGCCTGGAAGTGTGCCCGGTGACTCCCCTCCCTCGTCCACCTCGTGCGCACCTGCATTTTAATGGAGTGCTTGGACCTTCCAGAAAGCCCGGAAGACACCGGGGAAGTCTAATGACAGCCGTTTATTTCATTATTCATTTATCGAGTGTGTTTGGTGCTGTGCCCTGTGCCGGATGCTTGACCCTCAAGGAGCTTGAAATCTCACACTCTCATGTGCGTACATACTTACACATAGAAACATAATCCACTTTCCCATCTTTGCAGGCATTGTCAGGGCACTAGTGTGTGCCAGGCCTGGGAGTTCAGACAGAGAGTAACCAGTTAGTCCGTGCCCCTGAGGCCCATGGCAGCTGGGGAGACACGTGTGCAGCATTGAGGTGTTACAGAGGAGTGTGCGTGGGACAGGGGACAGGGCAGGGTGAGGGTTCCGCAACCAAATTGGAGGGCATCAGAGAGGACTGACTGAAGGAGGAAACAAGCTGCATTTAAAAGACTCCAAGCAGATATTGCATGATGGCCCCTGTGTCTCCAATGGGTCAAGATTTTAGCGACCCTCAAATCCTCCTGAGAGTAGGGTGGGAAAGGGAAAGGAAGTGAATTTGCACTGAGCACCTACTATGTGCCAGGAGCTTCCACATAGGATCTTATGAATCTTTGAAATCTATGGGAAGGTTAAATCAGCCCAATAGACAGATGGGAAAACTGAGGCTCAGAGAAGGATTGCCTCTTCCCCAGGGTTATGCAACAGGTCAGTGACAAAGCTGAAGCTGGCACCCAACCAATCCTGCAGCCAAAGCTTGTCACCTTTCCTGACTTGTGATTCGGAGTCCTTTTCCAAATGATGAGATAGAGGCTCAGACTGAAGAGGCCACCATTGACTGTGGCCTGCCGAGTACAGGGCAAAGGACTGGCGTCTGGGCTTCCCCCCAAGCCGTGCAGCCCAGTGACTGCCCTGCAGCCCACGCCCTCCTCCTTTGTCCCTCTTCCTTAGCCAGAAGCATTGTAAGTGGACTCACCAGATCCCCAGAGGCTGCACATGAGTCAAACAGATCAGGGCCCATGTCAGTTTCTTCACCTGGAAAACAGGGTACATTTATGTACCCCAGGAAGTTAAATCACATTGCTGCAGAGGCCTGCAACACATGTCTGATATGTAGAAGGTTCTCAATAAATGAGAGCACCATCCTGCAGCCTCCACTCACAGCCGGAGTCTTGAGAAATGTCCTCCCCAGGTGGGGCCACAGGCATTCCCTCCCACTCCACTGCAGAGCAGGGCCAGGGCAAGCAGGGCAGGCAGCCCCAGGCCAGCCGGAATCCTCAGCTCCTCGCTCCTGCCCAGACCTACCAGCCCTGTCTGACTCTACAGTCCCCAGTGAGTAGCCACTGGGCCCCAGTGTGAACTCTGTGTCATTCTTCATGGGAAAACATCGATGACATCACTGCTGAGTTCCACTGATCCCTGTCTGGGGTCTGAGTGAAAATGTCAAGGACTGCAGAGACATGAGGAAAACCCGGTAAAAAGAAAAAGAAGAAAATAGCCATTTGTAGTTTAGGTGATTACATGTTCTTGTTTAAGCTTCACCACACCTGTACCAGGTGGGGCTGGATCTGATTTCTCAGGGGAGAGGGGAACAGGCTCAGAGAGATAACATCCCGTGGTCACAAGTCATGGGATCAGGAGCTGGCTCCCCCTGTCTGTGCCTCAGTTTTCCTATCTGAGAAATGGAAGAGTAATAGTGTTCCATATGACAGCAATGAAAACGAATAAGACAATAGCTGTTCAGCATCCCCCCAAGTGGTAAGGAACTATAGACACACCTTGCTTTGTTGCACTTCACTTCTCAGACGCTTGTCTTGGTGGTTTTGTTGTTGTTGTTTTACAAATTGAAGGCAAGACCCTTCACCGGCAAAAACAGGTGATTTGCTTCATTGCGATACTCACCGTAGTGTGGTGTCTGGAACCGAACCCGCACTGTCTCTGCGGTATGCCTGCATTCTGCACGCCGCTCAGACACATTGGCCGATGAAGGAGGCAGATGCTAGGGCTGATGGGAACGTGGGTGCAGGCACTCTCAGATGGAGCAGGCCCGCCCTCTCCTGTGGCCAGGTCCCCCGGGCCGAGGTGGAGGAAAAGCATAAACAGCAACAGGAGAGATGGGTCTCTGCATCCCTGCACTGCCGATGATTCAGGGCCGTCGTTCTGGGATAATTTTATGGGGGGCATTAAACTGAGTTATGAGGTTTTTACAATCCAGCCACTTATGAGAAATCTATTAACAGTAACTGGACAGGAAGAAGGCTTCTTGGTGGAGCCCAGGACAGGCATTAATTGGGGCAATCTATAACAGGATAGGGACCCAGAAAGGTTCCACCAGCCGCCTCCATTTACTCCCCGCAATTTCTGCTGAGAATCAGCAGACTCGCCAAAAAGAGAGAGATGCCCATTAATCGGCTAATGAAATATGAAAATGTTTATGGGCCATTCAATCTTCCAAATGGCACTTCTATAATCCACCTTTCAGACACAAAGTTCCACCAGCAGAATTTATTCCCTGGCTCCTCCTGCGTGGCCGGGGCCGGGCTTGCGTCCCCCTCTGTGATGACTTGATCTGGCACCTGTTACCCCACTGAGTGGGCTGGGGTGCATGGGGTTCTGGCCAGAGAAGGGACTTGGGGGTTCTCTCCTTCACACCCCATCCCTGTGGAAGCTCAGAGAGGACTGGGGACCCCCCAAGGTCACCAGCTTCAGGGGATGCGTTTTCTTCTGCTCGGCGCTGCCTCGGGGAGTGGGACACTGGAGGATGCGGGCTTCGGTGTTTCTGTTTGGGAGAACAGCCTGCTGGCGGGTGGCTTGCCCAGGAGATCTCAGTGCAGAGAAAAGAGGCTGGGATCTGGAGCCTCAGAGGGCCTGGACTACATCCCAGTTATATATAGCCAGCATTTGGTAATAACATAATAATACGATAGCGGCCATTTACTGGACACTTATTATGTCTCAGGCAGAGCTGATTTTCAGTTCGCACATGCCAGTGTGGTCGTGTGGCTGTGGAGTTAGTGAGAAAGCTCCCCGTCTGCGGTAAGCAGTCTCTCCCAACCCCCAGCTCCCTCAGCCCTGTGAGCCTCACTGGTCGAGCAGCCACGTGGTTCCTGCCTGGCCCCGCAGGGCCCTCCTGTGGTACCATCCCTTGGACGGTCCTTCTGCCATGCTGGCAGTTAAATACTGTGCCATGTGGTGCCAGGCAGGTGCTAAGGGCCTTGTGTGATGTCAACTCAACTATCCCCAACACCTGCAGGAGAGAGGTGCTCTTACGACCCGTGTTACAGGGGTCGTAACTGAGACCCAGAGAGGGGCTGTGGCCACATGGGGAGATGCTGCTGCCACCAAGGCCAGGCTGTGATGCCGCTCCTTCGCCCGGGCTCCTCCCTAGAGGCTCGAGGATGGAGGGAGAAGGCCAGGCTGTGGACCAGGTTCCCCAAGAAGCACATCATCCCATTTCGCTAATTCTCTATGGAAACTAAAAAAAAAAAAAATCTATAATATCTGTATCAAAACCTACTCAAGTACTATTTTTTTAAATAAAGAAGCCTGAACTAGATAAATATGTAAATGGCTTAGCATGGTGCCTGGCCACAGTAAGTGCCCCTTCTATTTGCATAGCCCTTTCCCCTCTCCCTCTTTGTGCCCTGTCCCCATGTGTGCCCCGCCCTGAGGCTGGCTCTCCAGGGGTGAGTAAGAGGAGGAAGATGGGAGCCCTGACCTCTGGGGGCTCAGAGCCTACGGAGATTGGACAGCAGCTTGGAATCATATTAGCAATGCAAACGGAGGCCCCACTCCCAGACCTACTGAGTCAGAATCTGCATTTTAACAAGATCCTCAGGTGATCTGCATGCACATGAGGTTGGAGAAATGCGGGCTGCAGCCATCCCACAAGCTGAACATGATAATGATGGCTCATGTGCTGAGCTGCGGAGATGGTGGAAGGGGATGGAGACGGGACCCAGAAAAGCTGGGGGTGGGGGGAGGCGGCATGGAAAGGAGCCTGATGGAGGAGCAGAGCTTAAGTGAGCAGAGACGTAATGACAAAGTGCTCAAAGCAGGAGCCCGACGGTGTGGAGGTGGCTCTGGAGTTGTTTGTAAAGGCAACGGGGAGCCACGGGAGAGTTACAAGTCGGGAAGGCTGGGAGTCCCAGCTGCAGAGCGAAATGTAGATTATGGGGGCAGGGCTGGCACAGGGAGAGCGTGGAGGGCTGGTGAAGCCCAGACAGGAGTGAGGCATGGCTTCCCAGGCCTGTGTTTTCACTGAAGGATGGGTGTGTTAGAGAAGGGACGTGCGTAGGAACAGGCCCCTGCGGGATTCCCAGGGGGAGGCCGAGAGGAGCTTCCTCCCCCACCTCCACGCTGTCTTCCTCCCTGCCTCTCCAGATCCACTCGGACTCCGACGAGGGGGACGGGGCCATCAAGTACACCATCTCCGGCGAGGGCGCGGGCACCATCTTCCTGATCGACGAGCTGACGGGTGACATCCATGCCATGGAGCGGCTGGACCGTGAGCAGAAAACCTTCTACACGCTGCGGGCCCAGGCTCGGGACCGTGCCACCAACCGTCTGCTGGAACCCGAATCGGAATTCATCATCAAGGTGCAGGACATCAACGACAGCGAGCCCCGCTTCCTGCACGGCCCCTACATTGGCAGTGTGGCCGAGCTCTCCCCCACAGGTGGGCTGCGGGATCCTGGGGTGCCAGGGGTGGGGCAGGGTGAGGAGGGAAGGGAGCCGAGTGGGAGCCCGCTGTGGGGGAGGAGCTGAATCTGCGGGGAGGCACAGGAGCGACAGGATCTGCTGCCCTAGGGCAAAGGGCACTGGTGTGAGCCAAGGGACCACACAGGGTCAGACATAGAAACTGGACACAGTCACAGAGGCATGCATGCATGTGACCTCAGGCACACACATGGACATCGTCCCCACATGGACATGGGCCTCCATGTGGACTCAGAGACACATGCGGACATGGTCTTACGCCCACATATAGGCCCAGCCTCACATACAAGCTCAGGTGTCCACCCGCACCCAGCCCTTCATCAGAGCTGACCTCCACACACACTGTACAGCCAGCCCTCGGTCACAGTCCCCACCCCGGCACAGGTACAGCAGGACAGGGGTACACCGACAACCAAAGACACCCAGAGTGAGATGCAGCCCAGACAAGGACCAGCCACACAGCCAGGCATAGCCCAACACCCAACAAAGCCACATACAACCCAGCCCAGGGAACAGCCCTTCACACAGATGGAGCTGATGCGCAGACACAGTCACCTACACACACACAAGGAATAGCCGCACCGAGTGTTACCATCTGGGCCCACTCCACCGGAGGGTGACTGTGGACAGGCCTGGCCAGTCGGGGGCAGCAGCATTCACACAGCTCCCTTCACTGCCCTCCGGAGGCCCCGGCGCACCAACATGCAGCCCCCTGGGGACACAGTTCACAGAGACGCTGAGCCCCCGACCCAGGTTCGGGTGCCTGTGCCTGGCAGGCTGCAAACACGCAGGGTGCCGGGTGCTTGCGGAATAGGGAGCACACCCATCAGAAGTCCCATCTGCAAGGAGACCTCAGACGTGGCCACACCAGAAACGCGCATTTGCCCAGCAGGGAGCACAGATGCTAACGGTTGGATGGATCTGCCCTCTCCCTCCATGGGGCCCACATACAGTTGGCTGACCACCAAGACTCCCCATGGCCTAGGGCTCCCCATAAAGCCAGTAGTTGCCATCTCCTTCCCCGCCGTGCTAACCTAAGCACCTCCCAGCCAAGCTGGGCCCGGAGCAGCGACCCTCGGTCCTAGACCCTGGCCCATCCCTGAGTGCTGTGGGCTCAGTGCCGCTTGTCTCTGGGTCTTCCAGCTCCTCGGCTGCATGTCAGATGCCAGGGTATTTGAGTTCTTGGAGGAAAGTGCAGTCAACCCCAGCTTCTCCAGATGGAGCTAAACTGGCAGATTGGCAGAGAATGAGCAGGCAGCCAGGAACTGAAGAGGAGGAAGGGAACCAGAGAAAGTGATGGGCGCAAAGGGGTGGTGGGAGAACAGGGGAACAGTGAGGTGTGAATGTGGGTGCCAGCAAGAATGCACACACACAGTAGGTCCACATTTGACCTGGCTGGTCAAATGGCACTTTAAGCCTTCCATGTGACATGCTGTATGTCTGTTTGAGTGTCTTCTTTCATTCGTTTAAGATATATGTGTGAGGATCTGCTATGTGCTAGGCACTGGGGACACGGCAATGAAAAGGCAGCCAAGCCTCCCTGCTCTCAGTAAGCAAATTAGCAAGTAAACGACCAGGTCTCTGATCTGGGAAGGCTTCTCTCTGAGGAGGTGACATTGAGCAGAGACCTGATGGAAAGCATGGGCCCTGGGGTAGGCATTCCAGGCAGAGGGAACTGTACATGCAAAATCCCTGAGGAGAGATGGCGCGGCAACCAGGTCTGGCAGCCATGTAGACCATAGTCGGGGCTTTGCCTTTTATATGCTGAGCAAGCTGGGAAGTCAGCAGATGGGCTTGTTCCGAAGAGTGACAAGATCTTAGTTTTAATGGGATCCCCTGGCTGTTCTGTGATGGTTAGGTGTCGGGGGATGGGGGAGGGCAGAGGCAGAGTGCCCATTGAGGAGAATACTGCAATTACCTAGACAGGAAATGATGGTAGCATGGAACAAGGTGGTATCAGTGAGGGTATTGAAGAGAGGTCGACTTATGGATAGATTTTGAAAGTAGAGCTGAAAGCATTTGCTAATGGATCAGATGTGGGCTGTGAGCAAAAGAAAATTCAAGGATCACTACTGAGATTTTGACCTGGGCAATTAAATAGATGGAATTTCCATTTGCCAAGGTGGAAGGGGCAGATTTGGAGGGTGGAGGGAAACCAGAAGTTTGGTTTCAGACGTGCAAAGTTGGAAGTATTCATCAGCTAACCAGATGGAGATGTTGGAAAAGGCAGTTCCATATACAGGCTCCATGAGAGGTCTGGGCCCAGAGATAAATCTGGAAGTTGTCAGTAGCAAAGACTCCCTGGACTCTCAGAGCCCAACGAGGACTTAGAAATCAATTTTGCAAATGGGGGAAACTGAGGCTCAGAGGGGCAGTAATGTGTCCAAGGTCACACAGCAAGTCAAAGGTGGCTCAGGCCCCTGACTTCCCAGGTCCAGCAGCTCCTACTACTGGATTCAAACTCTGGCCTAAGAAGGTGTATGACCCTGTCTCTCTCCACCCAAAACTGACCTCCTCCTTCCCAAATGGAAAAGACCGTAAAGGAGGCTGGAGAAGGAAGCAGGAGCCATATCCCAAGGACCTGAGGGAAGGACGGAGCCTGGGAAGGCTTAAGCAAGAAAGTAACATGGGCAGACTTGCGTTCTAGACAGCTCCCCAGCTGCTTCATGGAGAATGGATGGGGATGGTGGGGTGAGGGCTCCAGAGGGAGGCCCAGCCCCGTATCCACCGGGATGGCTCGTCCATCATTACTTCACTCTCTCTTCAACCCAAAGAGGCGGCAGGACCGATGGTAGCACCCCCGTTACACAAACCGGAACACCGAGGCTCAGAGGGGAAAATGTGCTCACAGTCACATCGCAAGGCAGTGGCCGAGCGAGTCGCTGAGCTTGGCTCCCAGGCTGTCGGAGTGGCAAGGGTCCTCGTGTCACACCTGGGGAAACTGAGGCCAAGAGAAAGGCAAGGACTCGTTCAAGGTCGCCCAGCCAGTAGGAGGCAAGAGCCAGCCCCCAGCTTCACAAGCACCGATCTAAGGAGCCCCAGCTCTGCCTCACCTCCCTCTCTCAGCCCACTCACTCTGACATTCCACTCGGGGGAGAAAGTCAGGCAGGGGACTCAGCCAGCCAGGAACCCCAGGAGGGGGAGGGAAGAGGCAGAAATTAAACGCGTTTATTTTATTTGAGCAACTTTTTGAAGGAGAAGCGAATCTGACACCGGGCGCTTGCGGAAACTCCAGGCAGCTTTGAAAATCAGTCACAATTACCGAGCCTCCTGTTCTGGGCCAACGGGGGCGGGGCGGACACGCGGCACCGGGTCCGGGCAGCTTTGGAGATCAGAAGGAGCAGGGACGCAGATTGGGACATGAAAGGCAGCAGAGCTCGCACATTAAACCACTCACAGCTTAAAAGGGAAGGAGAGTGTGCCGGGCGCCTCCCACAAGCTGCCACGCTTCTGCTCCCTCCCGAGGAGGGGCACGCCAGCCCAGCCGAGCCCCTGGAACAGGTCCTGCAGCTGAGTCAGGAGGCCTGGTGCCCCTCATGACCTTGGCCAGGTTTCTGCCCCGTTCTGGGCCCCCAGGTTTCGTTCTGAGCATTGAGGGGTTTCGTTCATGCCACAGATATTTATTGAGGGCCTGCTCTGTGCCAGGCACTGGGAATTCTTAGGAAGCCTATGCATAGAGCAGGGAGAGAGTCAGGAAACAAATAAACAAGCCGATATATTATATTCCCAGTGGCATAAGTGCTGAAAAGAATAGGGGGTTGGGAATTACACAGGGTGGGACAAAAGTAGATGTAATTAATAAATAAGAAAACAATAAATTCTGTATTTCAAGTACTCACAACTGCAAACCTACTTGTGTCCCACCCTGTATTGGGAGAGTGCTATTTTAGAGAGAGTTAGAGGAGGCCTTTATATCTATATCTATATCAATATAGATATAGCTATTTCAAAGAAGAAGGGAGAGGGAGAAATATAAACATCAATGATGAGAGAGAATCATCGATCGGCTGCCTCCTGCATGCCCCATACTGGGAATCTAGCCCGCAACCAGAATTGAACCCAGGACCCATCGGTCCGCAGACTGACACTCTATCCACTGAGCCAAACTGACTAAGGCAGCCCTTCTTTTTATAAGATGACATTTGAACAAAGATATGAAGGAACCAAGGGAGTGAGCCAAGGAGCCAGTAGTTTTCATACTGTCTTGTGCATCCACGTTGCCTGAAGGGCAAAACACAGATGGCTGCCTTTCCCCTACCCCACCCCCGCTGGCTTTCTGATTCAGTAGGACTAGGCTACTAGAAAGGTGCGCATCTTTTAAAACAAATCCCAAGGTGATGCTGCTAGTTTAGGGACCACACTTGGAGAAACACTACACTGGGGGAAGAATGTTCCAGATTGTGAACAGCAAGTGCAAAGGTCCTGAGGCAGAGTGTGTTTGTCTTGTTTGAGGAATAGCAAGGAGGTCAGTGTGGGCGAAGAGAGGAATAAGGGAGGAGGAGAGTGTCCAACAAGATCAGAAGAGGTACCGGGGCAGGGTCGCTTAGGACGCTGCAGCCACTGAAAGGTTTTTAGTTGCATTCTGAGAGAAACAGGGAGTAGAACAGTGACATGACCCAGTTTATATACTTACACGATGAGTGTTGGCCACCATGTTGAAAATAGGCTGTAGGGAGCAAAGTTGGAAATGGGAAGATTAGTGAGGGGGCAATTGCAGTCCTGCGGGCAAGAGGTGATGGTGAATTGGGGTAAGAAGATACGGGTTTATGGGTGGGTGTTGAAGGTAAAGCCAGCAGGGTTTATGAGGGATTGGATGTGGGGAGTGAGAGATGAGACAAGGATGACATTTTTTTGGTCTGAGCCTCTGGATGGATGCAGCTGCTTTGCTGAGGTGGGGAATGCTCCAGAAAAGAGCAGGTTCCCAGTGCAAAATTAAGAATTTGTTACTGGTCAGGTTAG